ATCTGTCCTAAACAGTCAACTGTACGAGGTGAAATCGCCACTGTGTCCACCTCTTAAGACAAGAGATGGCTGGAAAGAACGCATCAAAAGTAGGGGGTACATTTGGACGCTACTAAAAACAGAATTTAATCAAACAAATGTTTCCTGCAAAGTAGACTAAACAAAGCCCTGTCTCGTAAAAATCTTTTAAATTTAGCTAATTTCACTGATTAACCTGAAACCAGAGGTCGTTGAGATGCTTTTTTTCTCCCGAATCCTTTATTATACTCTTTACAATAGAACAGGAAGCTACAGTTGGCTTGAGTAGGAGTTTGCCCATAGTGGTATGTCAGTGCTTAGCTTATAATTAATTTTTAATTTCTTCGATGCCTGGAAAACTCTTTGGCATTACCATGCTGTACATCAATTTTCGTAATTTTCCAGGAATCAATTTTATTTTTTTTTATAATTTCCCCTCCATTAGCAAGTTATACCCATCAATCACAGGATGAAAGGGTGCTCAATAATCTAGGCTGAGATTTAAGGAGTGGAGATCAGTTGTAAAAAAAAATTTGTGGTTACAACATGGTTTGAACCTAGAACCCTGGGAATAAAAAATAATTTGAGCTACAAGTCCATCTCTCAATAATACAGTAAAACCTTCAATAAAAGCTGTAGGTGGCTTATTTTTATTTTTTTTTTCTATTTTGGATAGCCTCTTTTCGAGATGTGCTTCTTTTCGAGACTATTTTTGCAAAGTAAAGAGGCAGGAGGAGCCTTCGTTTCAAAATGAATGCTGTAAATTTTCGGGATTAACTACAATAAAACAATAAATATGGCCACTGTAACATCATGGAGTATAGCAACAAATGGCATTAAATCACCCAAACTACAGCGCAAACCAAGCATGTTTTTTATTTATTTTGTTTCTTCGAAATTTGTGCACAGTGTGTTCTGCACTATCTACAAAAGTAGTCCATGCTATCTCGAAAAGGGCTTCTTTTCTAGGCTACTTTTGAAACTAAAGAGGGGGCTTCAATTTGAGATGGACTTCTTGAGATCAAGCCAACTGGGCTTATACTCAAGTTTTTACGGTATAATTGTTTGCTTATATATACAGTGCATTAATGATTTTACTTGATATGATTTCATTTGATTAATTTTGATTTTACTTTTTATTTAATTAGAAACATCATTTTAAAACCATACAAAATTATAGAAATAGGAAAACAGAACAGATCAAAAAATGGAAAAGGTGGGAATAAAGTCTCTCATTAAACTGTTCCCAAATTTTTTGTAAAACACCATTTTTGAGTCTTGGAAAAATCAGTTTTACAACATATCAACAAAATTTCTTCATTTGGAGATTAATTTTATATGAATCTATTGAAAGAAGATATATACGAATGAATGAATGAACTAGCTAAGGAATAAATAATTTATGACTTTCTGTTTTACCCTTCTTTTCCCAATGCTGCGTAGATGTGCATTTTACCCCTTCTTTTCCCAATGCTGCGTAGATGTGCATTTAAAACATTTTTGCAAAATGCACTTATATTAGGAGTGCTCTTTTGTTCATCATTATTTCACCCTACAGTACATAGACCTATATTATGTTAGCATTATTACACTACCATACTTTTGGCTCCCAGGGCAGAAGAAATCTAACAATTACTAAACTTCTCTGACAGGATGTTTATTGACAGGTTGAATTCTGACAGCGGAGAAAATATCGAGAATGTTTATTTACCGAGACCTAAATATAGAACACTTTGTTTCCACCATACAGGAAACTGAAGAAAAAAAAAATTTAAGTGTATGGGGCATGGAGGAAGTCGCAGGCTGGGCAGACTTGTTGATGATAGTGTAATAAATTATAGGCTGCCATTGCTGCATTCATCGCCACCTCCAGACTTGACATCCCCTGTGAGAATCTTCAGAAACCTGGAGATTTGGAAAAAATCTGGGGGCTTTCATAATCTGAGGAGAAATATCATAGACGTATACTGTACCTTTGTAATATATCCCTTAAGCTAAATATTATTTTTCAAAATAATAATGATGATAATAATGATAATAAAATAACAATAATAAGAAATAAATAATAATAATAATAATAATAATAATAATAATAATAACAATAATAATAATAATAATAATTATTATTATAACAACAATAATAATTTTCAGACTTATATCGTCACCCTTTTCATGAAGAGACACAAACTTCAATTTCGACGAAAACAACGTTTTGAGAAAAATGCATTTGAAGTGGACTAATTAACAAATCCGTAAATTTCACTATCAAGATAACGGAATTTTAAATATTATTTTTTTTTACATTTAAAGATAAAGCATTAAACAATCCAAATGTGTAATTTATTTTTCTTTTCTTAACTTTAATCAACCTGTTAGCGTGAAAAGTTTGTGTCTGTTTGTGAAAACGATCAGAATAAACACAGCATATGTTGTTTACACGTAGAGTGAAGATTGTGTCTCTTCGTGAAAACGGTATGCGTTGTACGCGCACCCGTTGTTAAGGCACAAACTTGCACAAACTGTATTTTAGCTATGTGTTAACCATTATAGTCAAGGGCGAAAACAGGTCTACAATCTCAGCTTATCCTGCTTTAATCATTATGTTTTTACGAATAATTCCACATTTGATGCATCTGTATAGACCTATCCCACTGGGAAGAAGGGTACCGGTATGCCTAGGTAAGCTAGGGAAATCTAATTTTTACATCTAGCCCTAGCCAAGCTAGGCCTTACCTAGCGATCGCAACGCCACACACGCGTCTTTTAATAACCGATGAAAGTTTGTGTCTGCTCGTTAAAACGAAAAATCCATTTTTCTCGGTTTGTGTGCAACTGCTAATTAGCTTAATTAGCTAATTAGTGTAGTTCCACTCTTAAAAATTAGATGAAAAGGTAAAATTTGATGTACATAATCAAAATGTCAAAGAAAAAAATAACTGAAAAATATGATTTTTGTAGTTTGTGTCACTTCGTGAAAATGGTGATGATATAGTGCATCATGCCAGCAATCTAAGCACATCATGGAACATAGTGTCCTTGGGAGAATTTCATAATGTTGTGTTTGAACCTACCACGTACACAGATTGAGAGAGACAATGAATCGTACTGTAGTTAAAGTGCCTTGCCCAACGACAAGTGAATTATTACTACGTTCTGGATGTTTGGTAAGTATTTGTAAATGTCAGGCTGTTAATTCAAATTACTGCCTACCCTGGACATTTGTCTGAGGAAAGGTATGTGAATTTGGGCATAAAGTAGGTGGTGACCTCTGACCTAAATTTGGTAGAGGAACTATGGTACATGTATAATGACAGTGTGGCAATACACAGGTAGTTGTCCATGACACAAAATAGAGTGTCACATAAGGATCTAAATGCACCCTCATTAACTTATTTTCTCAACAACTTAGGCTGTGTTTATACTACACACTAAATACGAACACGGAATTACGTCCTTGAATGTGTTTACGCTAGCCGAGACGATCCTCCAAACGTCGGCGTTTATACAACACACCATTACAAGGGCTAACACGCCAAAGTATCATATAGCGCAATGTGTTCTGGGATAAAGGGTCAGATCGTACTTCCGCTCAATTCGCGCGGTTTGTTTTGAAGGAGTGGATAGTTTACTGTTGTTAATCGATTGTCTTTTATATTCCGATATTATTTTTTCTCGTAATCCAATTTTGTTTTTACTTCACTGGTTATTTTATTTAACGATTGTCAACGGCGAGTTCCATCTAGCCCCTGTTGGATGTTCTCCTCCCCCAAAATATTTATTAAGGCACGGGTCGCACCGTCGGTCCAGTTCATAATTGTAGGCCTACACACGTCCGAGCTTGTCAAAATAAAAGCAAAGAATGACAATCTGCGCTTGTTTTCGCCGTGCATTCTGAGAGAGCGGTAATTACAAAGAAATAATCATAATCTATTATGTAATATTTCAAACGCCCCGCGATACCAGTAAGCATTTTTATCAGTTATTGATTTCTCGGAATCTATCCAGCAACGCTTGAAAATGCAGCGAATAAACTGTCTTGTTAGCCACCCCATCCAGTTGATTAATTACCGCTCGCTGTGTTTACGAGAGGTCAAACAATAGCCATAGGGGGGGCAAGTAGGCTTCGCAAGGTCGCGAACCGGCCAAATTTGGCCGGTTCGTCAAGTAGCCTCTTTGCCAGATGGTAATGTAATTACACGCAATCCGACGGCGTTTATACTACACACATAACTTTGGCGGGCTGAGAATGCGGATATTGGTGTGTTGTATAAACGGGCCCATAAGATGCTTTTGGCTAAAAGTTTTCGCAAAGAAAAAGATTTTTGTTTTTTAACTTTTCACTGAATAACTTTAATAAAATAAAGTTCGCAAAACTGGTATAAAAGAAGTTGTGCTTTAGTGTCGGTATTGGTGCTATGAATGCAGCATCAATATTACAATAAACGAGGATGAACATATAACTGTATAAGATTAAGGTATTAAAGAAGTTAATACCTGTCAGTTTATGAGTACCCAACAATTGGGTTAGTAGCCCGTGGATCCTGTGCAATTTGCTTATACCTGTGTCAAAGGAAGTGTTTCATTACCAGCTTCAATTACCCCATATTGTTCCCACATAGGTGTTGGATGGATATTTTAGAACAGTGATACCCACTCACCGTTTCCAAGTGTTTTGATCCCATAAATTTACATAGGCAGTGAAGCAAAAATAATCAGCTTGTTTACAGCATCAAAATATCACAACTGGAATAAAGTACTGTAGACTTACATTGGAATACTGTACACTTACAATTTGAATAGCCATGGAGGTAATGAATAAATTATAATAAATAAAATTGTCACAACTGCAACCTATAGCATTTTTCAATGCAATATTGCTATGCTAAGTTTGTGTAGGGGTATTGTGACATTCAAAACACAGAGGGCGCATAGCCACAGTGGCGCCCCCAGGAACCACCCTTGCTGAAACAATTTTACTGTACCTTTGTGAAGGATACGTTGCTGTTCCGCCTTGAGCAAGATTTATCTATGAAAGAGAAAAAAGCAAGAGAATAGATATGATAAATATAGAGTGGATAATTTAAGAATGTTTATATCGTAGAATGTAAGTGAAAACTGAAAAGTCAAGGAAAAATGAAAAAAAAAAAAATGAAATTTAAAGTTGTAACATACTACAATACTACTACTTTTCACTTGCTAATTTCAAAATTTTGCCTCTGTGTATTGGATTTTTAACTATTCAATATAAAAACATAAAAATTAGTAAATCTTTCTTCTTTTTGTTAAGAGTCACTGCGCCTCGAAATAGTTCGCTAGATAGACGGCGCATTTGCCATTTTATTATTATTATTACACCAAACAAAAAAACACCACAATCAAAATTATTGTTATCTTTCTTCATCAACCTCACAACAATTATCTCTACGTTCCATGAGACAATACAACTCTCTAAGGTTATCTGTTCCTAGAATGCTGCACGTTTGTAGGCCTACTGGTCAACGTTAATTCACTGCTCCCAAATTATTAACTCTCTTCCACCTAAAACTTAAATCAACTTCTGGTGCTGATGCATTCAAGACCCTCTTTAAAACCCATCTTTAATCAATAACTCTTACATCTTTAAGCGCCAGCGACAAATAATTTTTTCTAACAGGCACTATACGAATTCTTCAATTTATTATTATTATTATTATTATTTATTATTATTATTATCATCATTATTTTTTATTATTATTGTTATTATTATTATTAATATTATTATTATTATTTAATATAAAAATAACGCTAAAAACAAAAGATCGACGTTTCGACTCCTTCATGGTGTCATTTTCAAGATTAAATGATGAAGTATAGAATATACAGCAACTATAATCAATAGAAAAAAGCTAATCTACAATTTACAATTTTTTATATTAAATATTTATACAAAACGTACTCTTATTATTATTATTATTATTAAAAGTTCATACAATGCTACTAAAATTATTCTTACTAAACACCTTTATATTTATTTATTTCTTCTTTAACCTGGGTGACCTGTTCAGTGCTCTCCCACAGGCCCAGGATCAACAATATATATTTATTAATACAGAGATAATTTGAACTTTACTTCACTGATAATACTAAAACCATTAAGCATATTAGACACACTGACACTATTTGTTCTTATCCTTGGTACGGTACAATCTAAATTCCCAGAATATGGCACGGGCCCTGAACCAATACCACCAATGAATCAGTACAATTCAGGAAAACAGATATCCGTTCTTTTGATCCACTGGATCCAAAGATCATGGAAAGAGATAACAGTTCTTCTGGCCTTCAGTACCATATAATAATAGGACCATATCCAGGAACTTTTAATCTATCATCAGTATAAAAATCCAATATGACAATTGTTTAATAGTGCTGTGGTTGTGTAGCGAACCATAGTTTAAATGGTACTGATGGAAAGTGGGAAACCCCCTTGGAGTTAGATTTATGGAGAACTCCCATTTTCTAGTGAGGCTACAAGACTATTTCAACCCACTTATTGGAACTACTTTGGCCACCATGGGCAATAGCCTATACCCATGTATGATGCACTGAGGGGAATCAGCATGGGTTTTGGGAGGTGGAATCCTGGTCATTTGTTGATTTTACATCTTCATGTTTACTATATTGCCTTAATATGACATCATCATGCCTATGTGATTTCCAAATAGTTATCAATGATGTGAAAAGTGCTGTGCACACAGTACTCAATTTGAATGAGGGGCAAGCAATATATACAGTTTGGCAGTCAGAGGTCATGCCCCATTATTGTACACTGGGGAAACCATTAGGACTACTGGTGACAAAGGATGGAGTTCATCCAGCAAATCAATGTTTAGACATACATTTACACCAACATCATCAATCAACCTTAGCTGAGATTGACACACAAGGCTATATTCAATACCTTCTGAGGCTTTACAACTAGGCCTAGCATCTCTCTTTAACCTTGGTGAAATTAGCTGAGCCAAGAATAATCATCTTGTGTGGTTTACTATTGTTTATTATGTTGCTAGAATGTTGTGATCTTAAGGAGAAATGAGCTAGGGCATCATTCAGTAGCTAAAGCCTTCAGGGAAAAAATGTCACAGTTTGAGAGAGATGATGTTTTTATAGCATTTAGCATTCAGTGTTTAGTTAATCTAAAAAGTAAAAAGTTCTTTAGCCTTTGCTTTGAATAAATGAGGTTATGTTGACACATTTGAAACTGTGAAACACACAGTCTTCTTAAGTCAGTGGTGTATCTAGCCCCTCTCCCCAACAATCAGCACATGCCCAAAATAAGCATGTGGCTCCCCCCACCCTCTCCCCTATTTTCCCCTTCCCCACTGAAAATGTCTGAAGCAAAAAATCATGCTCAAGTAGCTACAAACCACTTCATATCAAATAGTACCACTCAATACCCATCTACTAGCCCCTCCACCATTCCACCTTTCTGTCCTCCCATCACTTTCCCCCTTCACTGCCCCCCCTCTCCATTTCAAGAATCCTAGATATGCCACTGTCTAAAGCTATTTCTGATCTCATTCATTTATAATTTATATTTCTACGAGATCTCTGAGATCAGTCCCAGAATCTTTTCTTGCTTATGTAACCCATCCTTTCTGTAACCAGGTTTTATGGTATAAACAAGGCCAGTCGTATAACATCAAGGGCCAGGAGCTGCTAGGCGCCTATCTTCCTAGCTAGGCCTAGCTGCACTCTCAGTCTCAAACCATTCCATTTTATTGTTCCACCAGAGGTTCTTAATATTAAATTTGGAATTTTCGCCTAGGCCTAGGTATATTAAATAATATTAATATACTTAGATTTTACATCGCATCACAAAAAAGTACCTTGTAACAGTTTGAAAGCCACCTGAAAGGTAAACCCATTTCATATTGCCGCCGATACTTGTTTTTACAGTATACGAAAGCTGACAAAAGCAGGACAAAAGTTTGGGATGAGGGGGAGGGGGTGGAAAATAAAGCGAAGACGACACCTAGTGAAACGTAGAGGGAGCTACATCACATACGCTCAGGACACGCCCTCTCTGATAAGACGCGCGCAAGACATAAAGTCTATGGTATACCCATAAAGTTTGTGACGAGTGAGTTACGGAGAAAATAATTATGTTGCAAGCCTTTAAAAATATGTTGTTATAATACAAGCCTGTTTTTTTTTTTTGTTTTTTTGTTTTTTTGTTTTTTTTTGATCTAATAAATTCAAGCAATAAAATGTACAGTAATACTATATTTGAAAATTCAAAATTTGTAAACTTCAATGTGTGACAAAACTTTTGTTTTTTTTTTTAGTTGCGCTGAAAATATCGTATTCATTCGAATAAACGCACGGGGTCGTTTACTGTTAAGAAGATTTTGAGTGGGCGTTTATTCGATTGAGGCGTGTATTCAATGGAGCCTTATTATTTGGCCCTAACCCCTTAATTCATTTTGTAAATGTTGAATTACAACAGGCCTACCGTTAAAATGTATTATTGCGTGATCATAAAGACTACCGTATAGATCACATCCAGGTTAAAGGTGTAATTCGCGCTGGCATGGAGTAGAACATTATTAATAAAATAAAATGTGTTGAGAATGATGTTGCTTCCATTACAATTGTTGCTTACCGTCATTTAGGGGGTGGGGACGTTTAATGAATTCGATAAAAATATAAACGCCTCGGGCGTTTATTAGAGGGAGGCGTTTAATCCAATTGGGCTCTGGAGGGGGCGTTTATTCGATGGGCCGGGCGTTTACTCGAATGAATATGGTAGTACGGTAACTAATTTATGTATCTAATGAACGTAGTGGCAATGAAACTTAACATCTAACCAACCAGAACAAAGTAATGTCCCCAAAACACACGTCCTTTTACGCATGGTTTAGGCTGTTGTTTGGGGCACATTTATTAGGAATTAACGGAAGATATTTTCGGTGCCAAAAACAGACGCATAAAATGATAGGCCTATTTTCGCATCTTGAGAGAGGGATTGAGTACGATTGCCGTTTGTTGCCGTTCAAAATCCCAATTTTGAGATCAGTGTTTGGAGCCTTACTTGCCATTCATTGATAGGATGTGCTGCGCTACGGTATATATTGGCAAAATTTGGCCGTTGTGCCTAAAATCAAAGAATGTAGGCCTATGTCATCAAGTCTACTTGTTTTTCACATATTTTTCAGTACATCTTTGCATTGAAATGACATAATTAAATGTTTCTGAAAATGACAAGTTAATACCACCATCTGATTGTAGGCTTACATACCGATCCTAGCCCCTAGTTTTATAACATGTGGTTTCCGCCGTGTGTTTAGTAGGACAGGAAAATAATAGGCTTAGGCCTATAGGCCTATATCAATTACAGGATAGGGCCGTTTAAGTTTTTGTAAGAAAAACGCCCGCATGTCCGTTAACCAATAATAATTATTAATGATTTATTAACTACGTTATTTTCTCAAACAAACTAACCAATAGGAACAACACTTGCACTTAACGACATTTATTTCAGCAAAGATATGTATACACATGTTGGCGCCGGGATTCGCCCAAAGGGGTGCCAAAAGCAACAGCGCGGGGGCCACGCGAGCGAAGCGAGCGTAGGTTTGTTTTTGCCGAGGGCCAGCCATATATGAGGGCCCCGTCAGGGATCCAAGAGGGCAAGTATTCCTGCAACTCTGAATGATGATCTAAAAAACGGAAGCTTCGTCGGTATAAGCTATTTTCTTATGTATCAACCATTTTTATGACCGAGGCAACGTGGGCCGAAAATCAATATATCAATACTGGTAATATAATCAAAGAGTATAAAACTGCAAGAGGTCCGACTGCCCTTATTTTGTATACAGGCAATGGAACGTTAAAAAGTACTCCCACGAAGGGGCGTTTCCTTCATAAGAACGTAAAAGGCGTTCGCATCGAACGCGTGCTGCGTTTCGAATTCCAGCATACATTCTATAGACGCGCAGCACGCGTTCGATATGAACGCACTTTACGTTTTTTTAAAGACCACGCCCCTTTTGGGTAGTACTTTTTGAAATAGGATTGCGTTCCAAAGAATCCCCGGCAGTCGGACCTCTTGCAGTTTTATACTCTTTGATATAATTTATTGGTTATGGTGGCACCAGCTGGGAGGCCATCTCCCCACCCCTGTCGTGGAGGGCTTCCCCTTCCCCACCATCGGGAAGGAAACCACATCGTCGGCGATACTATTTTCTACTTATTATTAATTGACACTAAAATCGTTGAAATAAGCATTTGAAACAATTCCCTAAATTATCAAAAGCGACGCCCGACCACGCCCATTTTGATTTTGTCATGAACATCGCTCCCCCACCCCCTTCCCCCGTCGAGCAAATCCTGGCGCCACCCCTGTGATTATTGATTATGTAATCTATTAATTTATAAATATTGTATATAATATAACAATACGGCGGTCTGAATTTAATCTGCGAAGTGGGAGTTTCAGTCCCCCAGAAAGGTTGGAGCCAAAAATTCACATCCTTCCTCCACTTTATCTCTATTTTATTTTATTTTTATCTTTATTTTTACTGTTTTGATATTTTTAGTGTGTCTGTAAATTTTGCGACCCACTCGACAGAGATTTAAATCACTTTTTGGGAAGCCAGCCTCCTTTTTTCTGTCTTTTTGGTGTGTTCTTGTGATCTGTTGAGGCGAATAAAATGAATTGAATTGACTTTCATTTAGCGCCCCCACCCTGTTGTCAATAATCCTAGTACACACACTGATGATGATTTTGACGATGAGGATAATGATGACGATGATGATGATGATGATGATACTTGCCTTCCAATCCCAGCGTATCTCAATGTCACAAAAACCAATTCCGCTCTCTTTTGAATTGTCTGTATTAATGTTTTTTGAAAGGGATTACCATCTATAATATAATGACAGTGGATTATTTTCGATATTAATAATCCTTCGCACATGTGCCTTAATAATGAATTTAAAAAAAAATTACAATCGACTATATAAATAGACGATTACAATATCGTGTTAATCTCTATGAAGCCTAGCATATTTTTTTTATCTTTATCATATGCGTGCTAAATCTTTTTATACGATGATAATTTTAGCAAAGGCTCAAAAACTAAACCACTACATAATCCACAAAAACAGAAATAAATCTTTTGCAAATCCTGAGGTATGAGTTTGGATTAACTTTGCACTCCAAGCTTCAGATGCTCCGATGACGAAAACAAATTGCAATATATGTCCGGCTATTCATCAAAGATATTATTTAATTACGTCTAAATTTTATATATTAGCCTATGTTTTCAGACAGATAAATACACTTTCTAAACATGTTATAACAAATTCCTTTCTCTTTATTCGTAAATACTCCCTTTGATATTAAATCGTACCATGCGTGACAAAGAAAAAAAAATGCAAATTTGGGTAGACGCAATCAACTGCATTCAACGCAAGATAATATCGTTTTCTTTTCCCGGAGGGAGGAAATCAATTAAATGGTCTGTAGAATTGGCATAGGATTAACAATTTGAATGCAATGTCGGTCGTGAAGCAAGGGCGCGTCCCCCTACACGCAGTGGCGTATTGGCGTAGTCAGGGGTAAATCCAGATTTTTCCCCTGCCTGCACCCCTTTCGATACCCCACTGATGTAATCCCTTATTATGACTAACTTTTAGAGGGCGCATAGACATCCTTTTCTGATGATCCAAGGCCTATTTTTCCTACGTTAATAGCTCGATTTATTCGTTTATTTTCATGAGTTTTAACGTAACCTAAATTCATAGGCGCATTTTCAGAGAATTGAGAATTCCCATTTAAATATTTTTTAATTCACCGAAACATCCCGAATGCACCGATGCCGAACGTTCTGACGTCACGCTTTGATCAAACAGCTAATCCACTACTGTATTTTGTCTCAAATTCTCCTCTTCATAATGTTCATTAGGTTAAAATTCAATATTTCGACATAAATTATGTCATAATATCAGGAATGAATTTGAATTTGAATATTAATAATACTGTAATAATAATAATAATAGTAATACGAATTTAGTAATGCGCCAATTCCAAAGAACATTGATCAAAGGCGCAGTTACGCTAGAGCTAGTTACATAAATGAGTTTTCAGGGAAGATTTAAATGCCGAGATAAAATCAGATTACTGAAAAAAGGGTAGACTGTTCCAGAGACAAGCAGCAGCGGATGTAAAGGAGCTCAAGCCGTAAGTTTTAGTACTCAGCAAAGACATTTTTTAATTACAACTTTAAAAGTATTCACGAAAACTTTACACTAATGCTAAGATTCCTCTGCTTTTCCATAACAAAATAATCTCCAAAGAAGGTTGGAATCACTAAAAAAAAGACTGTTATAAATAACAGAAGTATAAGACGATATGCAGGTAGCTTGTTTTCCACTAGGCTACAGTAATTCACTTCTCAGAATCGAAAGCGTCGGTTCGCTTCCTGAGCTCTGATTGGTTGCGCATTTTTTCGCAAAAAGTACAAACAGTTCGAACTATTGGTTTCACTGAAGCGAAAAATCTCCGATAGGTGTAAATGCGCCGTCGTCATCATCATCATTAATCTCAAAATCTGTACTACAATTTTCGTAGCAACATTAATTAACCGTTACAAATGATGCGTTAACTACAATTAGTTAATTACAACTGTTCAATATTCCTCGTTAGTCTACACAAGTATACGAATATACATCATTTTCAACAAATAATCTTGCATTTATTTACAAAATATTTTGTTTATGTTTACAAACAATTATTATATATGTCCATTCATAATGGTTACTAATAACAAAGCAAACAGACACATTAAGTCTAACCATGGTCTAACAACACAGTCTCCACCAATAAGCCAATAAAAATGGTTGTGTTTTTTTTAGGTTAGTTTCCAAACACAGGAAAAACGGATTGACGGATTAAGAAATGCACAAGAAAAAAAAATCCTAATCATATGGGGGCGGTATGTTATAGTTTGCAATCCGTATCCAAAGAAGTATAAAATTAAAACCTCCCTGGATA